AGACAAATAGACAGACAGACAGACAGACAGACAGACAGACAGACAGACAGACAGACAGAGTTCCAAAAAGGAATCAGATACGATTTTTTAAAAAAATTAACAAAGATAGAGAGAACGCCAGACGAACCTTCTCCAGAAAGTAGAGATTGGCAGCCGGTGAGATCCACTCCCTGGCGTGAATGCCAGCCTCGATGACGATGGCGGGTCTGTCAGAGGTGTTGCCGTCACCTGTGATCTGATAGAAGGAAAGAGTAACATGTGAGTGATAGAAGGAAAGAGTAACATGTGAGTGATAGAAGGAAAGAGTAACATGTGAGTGATAGAAGGAAAGAGTAATATGTGAGTGATAGAAGGAAAGAGTAATATGTGAGTGACAGAAGGAAAGAGTAATATGTGAGTGACAGAAGAAAAGAGTAATATGTGAGTGACAGAAGGAAAGAGTAATATGTGAGTGACAGAAGGAAAGAGTAATATGTGAGTGACAGAAGGAAAGAGTAATATGTGAGTGACAGAAGGAAAAGATAATATGTGAGTGACAGAAGGAAAGAGTAATATGTGAGTGACAGAAGGAAAAGATAATATGTGAGTGACAGAAAGAAAGAGTAATATGTGATGTATCTTGGTAAAATCAGGCGCTCGTTAAAATAAACCAGAATTTTTCTGGGCGTTTGGGTAATTTTTAGCTTTTAACATTTTGTTGTAGGAGTGGGGAGGGGTTCAACACCTTTTCTGTTCATTTAAAAACACATTTCAGTTTGGATTTTTTTTTCTGATAAACGGTGATTAAAGATACAAAAATGCAATTGAGAGGTTGCTGGTTCGTGGGTTCGAGCCGCAGACCTTATGTTGTGTCCTTGGGAAAGGCACTTTACTTGAATGTTCCTCACTCCACCCAGGTGGGAATGGGTACCTGGCCACAGACAACGAAAGATATAGTCAGTATACTAGCATTTTAGCGTCTATAAAATGGCAGCTTGAACTGTATGCTTCTTAGGAAGTTAAGATTATTTCAGAATGCTATCAGGTCTGCTAGGGTAATAATCAGGCGCGGTTCGTCCATAGACAAGAGCACTGTCGTGCAGGGCTGCCTACAAAAGTTTTATGTTCTATTAGGTAAAGCACCCACAATATTAAATCAAAAGACGCCAGAAACAATCACTAGCCAAATATTATATCAAAACAAGGTCCTCGCTCTGGCGCTGTAAATGTTATTTCTGTGTCAAAAGCGCTGTAAAACATCTACTATGCCATGTCAAAGTCCACGCCCTTTAACTAAACATAAAAGGATATTCAGCAGTGGTAACCTGATCTATAAATCGCTCTTGGGGATAACCCATGCGATGACGATACTCGTAGTAAGTTTGGCCGTATTTTAATATCTATAAATTAGCATATCTCAATAATGTGTTCCTGCCAAGTAGTGCCGAAACATAGCCCACAATAGACAGTCTGGAAATAAACGCAACAGACTGTACACTGTTCAATGCCAAAGCTATGTGAGCCCTGGAGCAATCCAGCAGAGTGTTCAAATGAATTCTGATTGGTTCATTATCTTGCCACTCTTTTAAGTGACTCTGACCATGAACCTGAGAGAGGTGAACTTGACATACTTAAGTCACCGTCCTTTGGATTGTTTTGTAGTGGCGTGGTGAAAGTTATTACTTAAGTGTTCAGTTTTAATGCTGGATGAAAAAAATTGATATTTAGCAAACAAACAGATTTAGTTCTAGAAACCAAAGCGACAAGTGAAAAGAATGAAAATAAAAGCACGAGGTCCTCCCTCACCAACCCAAAGATCCTAAAATTATACAATATCCCATTGACCATGCCCTTGACTATCTTTAGCCTGCGATAGCTCAATTAATTGTGCACACCCATAACATAGACTGTAACGCACATGGAGCTTGCTGTTGAGCGGGAATTTGCGCCAAAAGCGACCATCATGGCACAGCCGAACAAAACCGACGGTGACCTTAAAAAAACGCGTTTGTTTTCATGGCCGCTACTCGGGCGATCAGTTTGTGTTAGAGAACCGATTCTCCAAATGGACACTGAGTATATGAGTTTTGTTGGCAGTGTGCTGCCTAAGAATTACAAAGTTCTATCGAACATTTCTGGCCGTTTTGAGTAACTAAGACCACAAGGTCAGAAACCAAAATTTAATGTGTTTGTCTGGTCTACAAAATCGTATGATTATTCGGAAGTCGCTATCAAGATATTCAAGGAATTTCATTCGAAAAAGCTGGACATTTAGTGTAACTCAAAATTTTAAACTTTAAATCTCTGAAAAATATGTACTGAAAAGAAAGAACTTTGTAATTCTATAGTAGAGAATGAGCAATCGTTATTAGAAGATGGTTTCTCCAGTACGATATAGTATTACGACACGATATAATCAGGCGGTTGTCAATTTAGGGGCATATGAGCTTATGGGCTGATGTCCTGTTTATAGCCGATTTATTATCTTGCTTTTGTATCATCATCATCATCATCATCATCATCATCATCATCATCATCATCATCATCATCATCATCATCATCATTATTATTATTATTATCATTATTAT